ACAAAGACAGCAGGAACCACCGGTGAGTTCTCTGTAAATGGAAGCAAATTTGTAATGAAACATCTGCATTTCGCTGACATTTTTTCATCCAAATTTTCAGACACAGGGACTCTAAATTGGAGGGACCACAGAGACATGCCAGCCAACACACTGGAGAGAAATCTTGCGATAACTGACTAACCAGCACAGTTACAGTCCTCAACCCTAACCCCACAGCCACATTACAAACACACCACAGAAAACAGACGTTACCAATTTCAACGGCAGGAAGCAAGAAATAGGACAAATCCCGCACAACATCCCATTGCACAGAACCCCAGTTTCCCACACTTTACATCGGTCCAAATGGACAGATGGACCGAAAAAAGGAGGATGGGTATAGGAAGGAAAGTTGGCCCTGTTCTCTGCCAGCCTGAGCCACCATCAACACCTTGTCCTCATGGCAAGCCTCACTTATCTTGATACAGTCTTAAAGGAATAACCTTTTTTTAGTTAAGTTGTCTCTCATTTATGAAATCTGCATTCATCTGACAAGAACTTTTCATCTTAAGACTTTCTACAGACTCTAGCTACTGTAATTTAGATTTTGTTTTGTAAGAGTTTGGATTCTGTATATTTTTACTATTCCTTTCTGCCATTACCTACACAGGAACTGACCATTCACAAAATACTTCAATGTTAAAGTTTGTCGTGTCTTTGCCCAAAATTTTAAACAATGCCACATGCTGTAGTTTCCAAGCCTTGAAAGCAGCAGACTTTCTAGGGTTCATCTGTGCTGATTTTACCTTGACCAATATTTGGAGTTTAAATATTAGAGGTGTTGATTTGCGGCATATTTGTCTAGTCTTTGAGCTAATAGGATGGCCGCTAGAATAATTACATGTCAAATAATCAGCACTTACTCGTGTTGATTTTTAACACTGGTGACTTTGTTCTTCAGCCTGTAAGCTGATTGGACACCCTGCTCTTTCCAGGATGCAGACAATTTAAGACCCAGTTAAGAAAGTACTAGGCTACTTCCCACTATTAAGTGAACCCTATACAGGAAGCTGATGTAATTACGTAACTGTCATTAAGCTCTTTCCTGAGTAGAATGCAGCAGTTAAAGGACCATTACAGTGAAACTTTTCTCTTGTTTAGTACAGATTGTGTTTACTTATTAGTTTGATAATTTGGGAAATACACTTATAGGCTTACTTGCTGAGAGTTAGATAAATTAGAACGATATCACTTTCATATGTTTCTGTTAAATGAAGCTAGACTAGACGGGTGAGCTCAGTTTAGGACAAAAACTCATAGTAGGGGGAAACACCGTAGTTTAGCTCTCTCCAAAGGTAAATAAATCCCCTATCAGCACCACTAAAGCTCACAAATTAACACATTATCGTACAGATTCTCTCATTTATTTCATCTGTACAAAACCTGGAGTGTAAAAATTAAACATTGTGATTTCACAGGGGAGTCATATTAAACTATTTCTTGGCCCAGCCAGTGTCCTCTTGGAGCCTTGTCATCACTGTGAGGTTGACGGGGAAGTCACTGCCCCCGGCCAAGATATAGTCCATCAAATAACACTCCCATAAAACACAACACAACTTGCATTGTTACACTTTGGGTTTAGCACAAATTAAACAAATTAAAGTTTTAGAGGTGCTGGTAGGCAGATGTTTTTACCTCTGGGCAGAGGCAGGCTAGCCGTTTCCCCTTGTTTCCAGTCTTTGTGCTAAGCTAAGCTAACCGCCTGCTGTCTGTAGCTTCATATGTAAAAACACACACAAAAACAAAAACATATGAGAGTGGTATCAATCTTCTCATCCTACTCTCAGCAAGAAAGCCAAAGCACACTTTTTGCCAGGCATTGTCAAACAGCAGCATACTGTAAATTTGAATATTATTTGATGTATTATTCCTGCTATTCCTGGCAGCCACTGGTTTCCACTGGTGTCTCTGCCATATGAAAATAAATGAGCGGATTCTTGAAACTGGTTTGAATTTTGTAGCCTGCCACAGTGAACATCAGTTCATATCACAAAACAAAACAAGTTTTACGCTAACGGATTTCCATACTGTATGGAAATCAGCAGAAACCAAGAGCTGGAACAGTGAGAAGGAACGCACTGGGTGCAGTACTGGGGATAAACTATTTAACTATAGTGTTGCCACTGTTGTGCTGGATGGCATAATGGAAGATCATGGAGAAAGTGACTTTTGGTTTTGTACAGAATGTGTTGACATTGATAAATTATGATATGGGGTGGATTTTTCTAAGCTTTGGTTCTCAATGAAGGGATCAACTTTCTGTTTGTATTTGTTCTTTTGTAGTCTTGTCTTTCTGTTCCAGTCTCTCTCAGTCTATTGCTGAACAGTCCCTAGGCTGGTTAGATGGCGCAGATAGAGTCTTGTGGAATTACCTTTATTGTAAACATGTATGACATTCATGATACTTGTGGGTCTGTTTGTCCTGGAAACAAAGTCATTTAAAAGCCACCCTTCCATCCCATCCTGGTTGTGATGACATGGGAGTGGCACCTGGGCTTACAGACAATTCAAAGTGAACCAAAGGTTAAAAAACCTCAAAGCAGGGTGGAGCTGTCATTCTTGTAATGCCAGTTGCCGTGCCGTGCATTGCCTTATTAATCTACTGAACTGTCCAAATAAAACACACCCAAGTGAGACAATGATGTCAGTGATACTGCGTCTCTTGCCACTATTGAAGGCTCAGAAAACCCATTTCCTCAGACTTACTGTGAGCAATGTGTTCCCTGATCAACACACAAGGTTCTGCTTAAGTTAAGACAGCTTTGATGATTTCAGCTGAGAGATTTATGTATTTGTATTTCGTCTGATTCTCACTGATTAGAAGTGGGTAGGGCAGTGGCAATGTCACATACTTAAGTAGACCAATCAGGATTCAGCAACATTTGCATCAGAATTTGAGGGAAGCTGGTGGGTTGTTTGGTCGCTGTCAATCAATCTGATCAGACCACACCCGGATTACAGTTTCAGTGTTGAACTCAAAATAAATAAATACATTTTCTTCCCCAAACTTTGGTTTTTGAAATGAAGTTGTGTTTAACGGCTTTAAGTTATGACCAATTCTCTTTAAATGGGTTTTTTGGGGGGGAATTTTGGATTCTCTTCAGTAATTGGGTGCAACAACTTTTGGCTGGATTGCTGTGAAATTTGAAACACATTCCTCAGAGGATGATTTTAATGCCATCATGAGATAGACTTTTTTAGTTAGTTTTAAGGTTGGAGTTTGTGGTTTGGATGGAAACTACTGGATGGATTGTCATGATATTTGGTATCAATATTCATGTTGCCTTCAGGATGAATTGTAATAAGTTTGGCAGCCCCCTGGCATCTTTTAGCGTCATCACCGACTTTGGTTTATGATTAAAATATGTTCAACACAAACGGCATTCCCATCAGCCTCAACTGTTCTTTGTCTTCAGTGCTAATTAGCAAATGTTAGAATGCTAAAATGCTAAATTAGGATGGAATATCCTAATGATACATTTGATGACACAGATGAAACATTTTTTACCTGTTATCTGTAAGCATGTTTACAATGTCATCCTCTAGTGCAGTGGTTCCCAACCTGGGGGGTCTGGACCCCCGTTAGTGGTCGCCAAAGCTGCCACAAATTCATCCAAATCACTTAAACTTCCTGCAGTTATTGCGTTCGCTGTTTGGGTTCATTGTACAGTCTATCAGTTGTTCTGTGCTGTTATTGTTATGTACTGAACATAATTTAAAATATCTATAAAATATGTTACTAAGTCTGGAGTTTTCTCAATAAGTGATAAGGGTTGGAACCACTGCTCCAGCGTGTCTGTAGACTCTTGTGTAAGAGTGGGTGCCATTGTTTAACACAGAGGATATCTCATTCTCTAATGAGCTAAAACTGGACTTTGGGCAATTTCCAGGATCCACCCAAACTTTAGTCATCACCATGTCATGACCTCAACATTTGCTCAGTGACCATTAAAAACCATTAAATCATTAACACCTATTGTATAACAGCACATTCATGTCGTGTTCAAATCTACAGTAGCCTAGTTTCTCCTGCTGCGTAAATTCATTATCTGTTCAAAGCCTAACCAGTCGAGGCAGTTGCCAGAAGGCCTGTCGGGTTTACATGTTATTATTAATGAATGAAACTGGAAGAGAAGGAATTCTGTCTGGTTTAGGAATCAGATTGGGACTAGGATTGGGTTTTCTCTCTCTCTCTCTCTCTCTCTCTCTCTCTCTCTCTCTCTCTCTCTCTCTCAATGCTCAGACCTTAAAATCCCTGCTGACTGGATGTCTGGTGGAGAGGGTGCAGACAGCCGACACTAATCCGGTCTCTCAAACACACACACACACACACACACACACACACACACACACACACACACACACACACTGGCACAGGCTCTGCAACACACATACACACATGCAAGTTGTGTTTGATCTCCATGCAGGGAATTTATCATGTGATGCTGGGGTTGATATGCTGTATGTTGCATGGTGTCAGCAGTTTGATTAGTTTTGAGATGTTTGATTAAAACTGTACTTTAAGGGGTCTGATCACTGATCTGGGTTTTTCCTGTTTAAATGATGCACTAGCTGCACTAAATTATATTATATACTAGCAATAACCCTACATAAATATCAGTATTATGATATTTCTATTGGCACTTCATAGTGAATAATGACATCTGGATGAAGTCAAGTTAGTCTGTGGTATCCCTTTTGGTATCATCTATACTGGATATTATATGTAGCTTATTTGCATTGATATTTGTATAGCATCTTAATAAAATGTAGGGGCAAACACTCAAATCCATGCAATTTAATGCTGAAAAATTTCATTTTGTGTATGTTATTTCTCTGTTTATTAGGGCCAGAATCCAAAACCATCAACATTTCTAATGCTCGTGGGACTGAGAGACATCAGATTAACAAACATACAGATTTGTGTGTGTGCTTGAGACAGACAGACAGACAGACAGGCAGACAGACAGAGAGTGAGGATGCTGCTGCTGCTGCTGCTGCTGCTGCTCTGGTAACCCCTCACCTAGATCATCCTTTTGTGCACAGCGCGCTGCAGGTTGATATCTCTGCGCTCGGTCCAGCTGTCACCGCCTGCATTGGTTCACCCAGCAGACGCACGTAGGCGCGTATCCGACCGACCAACCCCCTCTTCCCCCGGCAGACAGACACACTGAAGAGCCGGCTAGCGGCGGGACAGCCAAGCAGCGACGACCCGGGCAGGACAGGACAGAAGTCTCCGCAGACCGAGTAAGTGCGGAGAAAATGCGTTGTTTATTGTGATCGGATGTGTTTTTGCGCTGCAGCGAGCACAGCAAAACAAATGTTGTTTTCCTTCGGCGGTGTGAGCTGGGGGAGGGAGGGAGGGAGGGGGTGTTTCTCCTGATCTCAGTCTGCGTTGCCGGGTGGAGATCAGAGATGTAGCTAGCTGGAGGATGATAAACTATGACTTACAGTCGGTTCTCATCCGTAAACACTTCATAACCACCGCTGTAAACAATGTTTATGTGATATTTGTTTGGAAAGTGCTCATCGGGCCCTTTAAAGCGCTATCAGTGTGTGCAAACTGCAACAAATGTGCAGTAGCCTACTTCCGAGCACTCACAGGGATTGTACTGCCTTATCTTAAAATGTGTGTAAGCTCTCATTATGAGTCCATACATGGGAGCTGAATTGCCTCTACTACACCAGTGTGTGTGTGTGTGTATGTGTGTGTGTATGTGTGTGTGTGTGGGGGGGGGGATGACGTTATTATTAGTGTTAATTTTAGCAACAGTGTTTACACATGCTACAGTTTCCTCCCTCTGATAATCTCTCTATGGTGTCTCATATGTTCAATCTTGACATTTTTAGCGCGTTTGTTTATTTATGTTTGTCTTCAGAAGAAGCTTATATTCCCTCGTCCAGCTCAGTCCCTCCCGGCGAAACTCGTGTCTGAACACGTTGTCAGAAAGGGGGTGTGTGGCTGAAAGTCAGAGGCCAGCCAATGAGCGGCGGCTTCCCGCCCACACTGTGGCACTTGTTTACTACCGGAGCTGGGCGCTGATTGGTGGAGAGGTAGGGGAAATAGGTTTTATGTTGCGTTCGATTGCAAAGAAAAAAGTGGGAGAGTGGAGATTTATCGTTGAAAATCCTTCCAGGTGGAGGTTTGTAAATAGTAAACAACTTGAGAAATTGGCACTGGTACAATAGTGATAGTAAATTCCTCATAGAGATTCATCAAAAGTAACTACTGGTATTTTTTGACACTTTTCACTTTGTGATACAGCCACAATTTACACTTTGTTATGTCTTGTTGTGCTCTTATTGTTTTTTTTATTAATTAGTAATAATAATATTAATAATAATAATAATGATATTGTATAGTAATAGAAACAAATAATAATCATTACCATAACCAAAATAGCATTGTTATTATTACTGCTATTATTGTTTAGGGCTGCAGGTAAAAAAAATAGTTTTATGACAAATTAATCTGTTGATGGTTTTTTCAATTCGACTGCAGACTTTGAATTGAATAATGGCCTCACTATTTTTTCATAGTTCAAAGTGACATCTTAAAATCGTTTAATTTTTTTGGCCAACAGTAAAATATTTGATGTGTAATATTAAGAAACTGAGAAAAGCCTCACATCTGAGAAGACAGAAAATATTTGGCATTTTTGTTACTAATAGATTGATTCCTGCAGCTCTATTATTTATTTATTTATTCATTCACTTTAATTTGAGCCCTGGTGTGTTTACTTAGTTAATGTCTCTCAATTTGCATGTGTGGTTTGAGTGTGCAATAGCTGGTCAGGATCAATCAGACTCTTCAGGAAACTTGGTATTTGTGGTTGACTGCCTAGTTTGCCATAATTATGTTGCCATAATACTTGAAAAATAATAAATCAAAGACGATGAATGCTTTATTCAACATTATTTCCATGTGCCCTGAATGCAGCATTGCCCCCATTTTACCTCTATGGGCAACAGGCCACAGTGAATGCACCCAAATGTCAGATTACATCTCCGGAACACGCTATCAGTCACATACTTTATAAGAGCAGACAACAAAACTAGCAAGATTTTGGTTCAGCCACTATCTAAATCCACACAAGTCTGTGTTCACTTCAAATTCTTGCAATAATTTCCAAATCCCCTGTGGTGGTTTTGCTTTGCACTGTCAGGCAGAGAGATGCAAGATGGAATGAGTGCACGAGTGTTTGCCAACACTCACTAGTCAGCAAAGCTGCCTTCTGTTTGGATAAACACATTTATTCATCAGAGAAAGCATAATATTTATCATTTTGTGCCATTCGTTCATTGAGAACACATTCTTCCTAGTTTAAAATAACCTTTAACCTACAGCGCCTATTGCTTTGAAGAAGGAAGATGTTCAGACACGACAACAAAAGTTACTTTAAGAAATGTGTGTGGAATATTAAATAATATAAAGGGGATTTAAACAGCAGTTTAAAGGGGCACTCCACCACATTTAAAAATGCAGGAAGCTATTTTGATTGTTACAAGTCTCGTGTTGTCCCTGGTGTCTTGTCTGCAGGGAGGTGTGACGCTGTGCTGAGTCCCCTCACTGTGTGCAGCAGCACCATGGCAGCTATGGGACCAGAGGACAGACCTGGACCAGGGCCAGGCGGGACGGCTGTCTGCCCGTCGGGACTACAGGCCCGTGTCTCTACAACGACACACAACAGCAATGGGCCAGACAGACAGCAGACTCTGGTGAGTAGACGGAGAGGGAAGAGACTCCCATTCAGGGTAACTGAGATGATAAAAGTTTAATTTTATTGTAGTATCAAAAGCCATAACAATATCATCTATATAACCTCTATCTCTACTATCATCATCTATGCATCCATTCCTCCAACCAGAGCTTCCACAAATGGATGATTACCCCCGCTGTCTTAAACATATTGAACTACCTGGTCAGGGGCTGGCACCCACATCCTTTTCACATAGCCACACTGGCAGCTTGTGCTGTCTGCAGGCAGGACGCCACAGATGGACAGGAAATATTCTCTTAACTGCTTTATTCATGCAACAGTGAGACGCAGTTTCAGGGCATCATGTAAAAAGCGTAACCCAAATAAGGCCTGAACAAAGTATGAGTTACTCTGTCAATTTCCATTCATTTACTGACTGGAAGTGTAGTCTTTGAAGACTGTTGCAGTTTTTAACTTGCAGCTCATTATTTCATTGCTTCTGTCTAAAGGTCTATACGCAGAGCTGTGTCCAGGCTGAGAAAGCTTTCGTGGACAACAAGACATCAGTTCACCTGCCGCAGAAGGAGGCTGAGAGAGGCTGGAGCAACCTGGGTGTCTTGCGAACTATGGGACCCACCATGCACCCAAGCAACTTGTCAGCTACTGGAGAGGCACCACCATACAGGTGAGGGAGAGGTCACAGTATGAGTGTGTGAGGGTGGACTTCATCACACTAGAGTCTAATGATATTTCTTTATGTTGTCTCCAGTTTCCGCAGTCCAGAGTCAGTGGAGATGGATGAGATCATGGCAGCCATGGTTCTGACCAGTCTGTCTTGCAGCCCCGTTGTCCAGAGTCCTCCACAAACAGATCCTGGACCAGGTCAGTCTCACCTCACCAACACACACCTTCACCAGTGTCCCTGCTGTTTTCAATACCACTTTCTAACAAAGCATCCTTTATACAGGAAAGGGTTTATAAATTGTAACTGATGGCTTAATTGCCGAATTATCTGCAGACATCTCCTCTCCAAAATAAACAGACCCAGTGATTAAAACCAGTAAAAACACTGAATGAAGTAGTTTCACCTTGAAAATCAGTGTTTCTCCAACGCTGTTCAGCAGACAAAGGACATTGCGGTGGGGCTGCCAGCCGAGCTGCCGCTAACGTTGGCTCTTGTGGTTCTTTCTCTGATAACTTAAGATCCAGACGACGAGCAGCCAAGTGCGTCACTAAAGTGAGCTAACACGTCTCATAAACACTGAGCACCTACTGATTTTAAATGATTAATGGATTTTAAATGTACTGGGTCTTTTGCAGTTTCACTGGGTATTCCTCTTAAATAGTTCAGCCTGGAGCTTCTGCTAGCTTGGTAGAATAGCTTTTATTGCACTAAATTCTATTTGAAAGTTTGCCATGGCAATAGAAAATGTCAGATTATTGATTTCTAATTATAGAAGTGAGTGAGGCAGGGCAGAATTTCAAGTTTAAGGAGGAATGGAAGACCAATCCTGACTTCAGGGACTGGATAGGACATGTGGCAGGTGATGTACACCCCAAGTTACTGCAAGACATGCAAGAAAACATTTGATGTGGGCATCATAGGCATGGCTGCTGTTAAAAGCCATGCTAAAGGAAAGGGACACAAGAAAGTCACGTCAACTCAGGTCAGTGGGCCACAAATGACAACAGCCTCCCACCCAAATTCAAAAGCTGGCAGGCAGACAACAGTGGCAGAGAGTCAAGGGAGCAGAGAGGTCCAACCATCCACTTTTAAGACTGTGACTTCACCCCAAGTTGAACCCAAAGTTGAAACTATCTTAGAAGCAGAGGTCCACTGGGAGCTAAACATGTCTCTTCCCCATTTCTCTTTTAACTCGTGTTCAGATTTGCCTACGCCTTACAGTGAGGTTGTCAAGAAATTCTAGCGTGGTGCATGCAAAGCAGCGTATCTGATCTGTCTTGGTCATGCACAATATTTTAGAGAGAAGCTATTGAAAGACATCAGACAAACAGTCTGCTACACTATCTCATTTCATGAGTGTGTCAATAAAGTTACACAGACCAAGAAGATGGATGTAGTTGTTTGTTACTGGAGTGAGAGCGAAGAGAAGTTGGTCCTGCATTGCCTGGTTTATTGGACACACCCAAGCAGAGAATGTTGTTGAAAGAATTTCCACTTGATCCAAACAAGCTTTTACAGATATTCATGGATGATCCAAGTGTATAGATTATTTGAGGAGGGAGGAGCAAGGATTACCCAAATGCTAGAAGGTTAGTGAACCTAGGAAACTGTTCTACATACTGTGCATGGGAGTTCTCAACATGGCGAGAAGGAAACTGGATGGAAGATAAGTGAAAGCACCCTTTGACAGCCTTTTCATGCTACACCAACCAGACAGGATGACTTCATTGAAATCACAAAAACGTAAACATTCCCACACAAATACTGTGCTCACAGGTGGGTGGAGGACTTGGCAGTGGCAGAGCAGGCCATGGAGATATGGCCATCTGTTCCAATATTCATTGACAGCCACAAGGAAGCGCAAGATGCCAACTTCAGCATTGTATATGATGGTCAGAGAGGCTGTTGGTGACCCCCTTTTTGAAGCCAAGCAACAAGCTAAGAAATAGAAGAAGCTTTTCAAACCATTGCCTTTCTCGGCAAGAGCTTCAATCCATTCTGAGGAGCTTGCTTTCTTGCTTCATGATGAGGAAGGTTCTTGAGAACATCAAGACACCCCTCGAATTGCTCAAAATCGATGTACTTGACAAAGAACTGCATGTGCAACTCTAGCCAAAGCCTCTGAGAAGCTCCATGAAAAGCTGCTGCTGGGCCAACAGTTCAGGAAAGAATGCACCACCCTTCTTTCTGCAACTGCTGAACAAATGTCCACTGAATTATGTTGCTATAAGACACATGAGTGTTGCTCCAGTGAGCATGATCAGTGAAGAGAAGAGTGACATATACAAGTCTGAAAAGCTCCTACAGCTGCTTCTGAATGCCAAGTGGTATACTGAACAGCACTGTGACAAAATCCTCAGAGTACAACATTTTCCTCACTGAGATTGTTCAACAACCATAAAGAGGAATTCTGTGTCTACCATAAGTGGCTCCTGCAGAGTAGATGCATTTCTAGGAAGATTTGCAAGTGCTGAAGCAGAGCACGCAAATCTGTGGAAGTTACTGAAAGGCCTATTCACACTGTCACATGGGAAAGCAGCGGTTGAAAGAGGATACTTGGTGAACAAGGACATGCTGGTATTTTAGATGCGTATCTGCATAGCTAGACATTGCTACTTTAGTTGAATAATGTCACTTTTTGCATTTGTAATATAATGTTAAATGTTGTGTAACAGTATCACAAGTAGAAAACAGTCTTAAAGCCAGCAAACCAGTTCAGTAATGACAATATCTGTCCAAAGTTTACTCAAATAGATTTGGCTAACATTAGCCACCAAGCTATTTCTCATTAGATTGAGGTGGACTACGATGAGCTTATGTTAAATGTGACTGATAACCTGGAGTTTCACTTAACCGCTTGTTAGCAACCACCTTTTTAAAGACATGTAAAGTACAAGAAAATTTGCCTGAGTAAAACATAGATTACTTGCTATTACATTTGTTTGGCAATGTTTAAAAGAATATTCAAATAAACAGGCAACAGAGCAAATATTTAGTGAAGACAGACTGAAATGATGATAAAACTGTCACAAATAGACACACATCACAACCTTGGCACCAGTGTGGGACACCTGCTGTTCTCTGTAGGTTGGGCAGAGACAGCTGTCCCAAATGCACAGTGTCTATTTTAACCACAAAGGAACAGAGCATATTTTACATCTAAACCATAAGGTACATTCTCACACTGACTGCTAGGGGAAAATAACCATCATGGTATGTTTACAATTTACATCTTTGCAGTATTGCGAGTAAATAGGTCATTCTCATTCTCTAACTTTGAATCTTCCTGTTTTCCAGCCGGCTCATCATCACCAGCTGACATGGAGTGCGGCGGCGGCGAGCTCTCTGACAGTGGCAGCAGCGGCTACTGGAGCTGGGACCATGGCAATGTGAGCCCCGCCCCCTCGCCGTCCGTCACTGAGATGGACAGCAGCCCTGACGAAGGCTTACATATGGAACTGGAGCAGGGAGAGGAGCTTAATGCCAAAAAGCCAAAGGTACCTAGCTCTTTGTGTCAGCACCATATGGTGGTAACCTATAATCGGCAAAGAAAGTATGGTATGACAGACTGAGACTGTGTTCTCTGTCTCTCTCTCTGTACTTTGTCTCTCTTTGTTTTCTGTCCCACCCTCTCCCCTGTACTTTATCTGTGCTGTGTTCTTTCTCTCACAGAGCTCTTTCAGAGGTGTGTATAAGTGTCTGTGGCCCAGTTGTGGCAAGGTGCTAACGTCTTCAGTCGGAATAAAAAGACATATCCGTGTGCTGCATCTGGGGTGAGTTGGAATACTTTAGATTTACACATACAGTCAGCTGCTTGCCTGTTACAGATGGATATTGTTTGAGATGTTTCAGTGGACCTTTTTCACAGCAGCCATTTCTACATAAAATAGTAGGGTAAACACACTCTGTTTAGTGTAGCAGAGCCTTTCCAGCGAGCCAGCACAAACACCTGTGTTTACCCTACTATTTTGTGTAGAAATGGCTGCTGTGAAAAACATCTATAATGGTGCTGATAAAAAAACAGTTTACGGATGCCAACACGATAACAGGGACTGTAGGAAAATGATTGGTAACCTTTTGGTTCAAGTTTTTAGAAAGAAATGTCCTGCCCAGGGTAATTATAGTATTTTGACACCTCCTCTTCTTTAATAAAAAATAAAACATGCCCCCCCCCCAATATCTTAAATAAGAAGCAGCAAACACAACAAAACCTGTGTCATGTTTATTCCAGCCACTCTCTGTCTTTTATCCGAGAACTACTAAAGTAACTACTTTTTGGCTACCCACACCTCACATGAAACACACCATGACACACAGGGAAGCCTTTTCTAAGCATTCAGTCTTTTAAAGGATGGATAAAAGGACATATATTGTATATCTGGGGTGAGGAACCTTAGACCATATTCTTGCCTCAGTAAAAACACAACTTGCATCACCCTCACCATTTTCTGAGCCTGCCCCATCACTCCTAAAAAATGTTGTACAGTCCCTCACTTTGAGAAATAAAAACGTTCTTAAATGTTCAGTGTAATCTAAACGCAAGCAGTCATAAAATAACTTTCTTTTCTAAAAAAGCATAATTTAGATAATAATTTTAGATTAGGAATTGCCTGTTTAAAGAATTAGTCAACAAGATTACAACGTTTGATGGCAACATGCTACAGATACATTTCAGTCTGTACCTACAAAGTCCTGAGGTTTGATATCTATCACTGCAGACTCCTGGTTGTTATGTAGTTTCTAGAATATGAAGGAATTATTGAGGTGTGTCCTTTATTACAGACGTGAAAATATCAAGGAATTCTATCAGTCGGACATTCTGGGTTTTCAGCTTTGGAGCCTCCTCCGTTGTAGTCTGGGATGAGGTGAAAACCAGACAGTTTAGCCCTGTAGAAGATTTCTGAGCTGCAAAACAACATTAAAAAAACAAGAGGGAATAAAATTTTCAGGTTGTGGAAGAGCTCTGACTTAGTTATTGGATGTGATGAAACATTTTTGAGATTTTATATCTGGGCCAGAGTGAGTGCTGCACTCTAACTAAACAAACAACTCACTCTTTTTACTCTGGTCTGTCCCTCCATCTGCCGAACACACATACACACCTCTACCACACACACAGCAGTGGGTCAGATCAGTCACAGAGAGAAGAGGACTTCTACTACACCAAGATCTCCTGTGAGACCGTGGACACCAGCTCTACTCCAGCTCCTTCCCAGCAGGCTCTGGGCCAGGCCCCGTCCTCTCATCTCAGCTGGGCCTCCTGCGGTTCTCCTCCGGCCTCGGGGCTCCAGATCCCCCCAGCTCACAGGCCAAGGTCCAACTCCAGCTCTGGGCCTGGACCGAGCAGGCCCAGTCCGCTCAGCCAGTCGGCCCCCAGCAGCTTCTGGCAGATCCACTCAGAGCATCTCTATCAGGTGGGTGCAGCAGTGCCGCTCTCTGTTGTTGTTGTTGACTGTGATGGTACTGGCAGCACAGGTGTCTTTCACATATTCGCAAAATAACAAAACATTTAAAGGTCATATCTAGTTAATAGTATGGCACAGGTTCAATAGGTTTGTATCACTTTTATGCTTCATGTTACTGACCAGATGATTAACTGGTGCATTGTGGGTGGATAATGATGTGGTTAACCAGCCAGTGGTTTAGTTCCATTTTGAATTGAAACATTTTTTTAATGATTTGTTATTGCCTAAAAGCTGTCTGCAGGCTGAAATCTATTTTGAAAAGATGCCTTAATGTCAGAGATTTGTTGAAGTCACATTGAGTTTTGGCACAGAGAACCTGTTTACTTCCCAGCATTTGAGTTTGTCTCTGAAAGCAGGCAGTGTTTTACAGGGCTGAAATTGTTTGAGAGCTATGAAATGAGACAGCATGGTCCTTGTTAGCGTGAATTATTAAATGTCTGGCGTAGATTTTCATGTGTGACTACAGAAATTTACCTTGCAAATGTCACAGTTTCCTGTTGCCTAAATTTAATAATCTTTCCCATGAAATCAGGCTTTAAATGGATACAGAAAACGACTTTATCTACGTTCTTTTTTCTACTAAATATCTCAAAGGACATTATCTTCTTTAACTGGAGTTTCTATGCCGGGGTTTCACGTTACATAGTTGTGGTGTTGTTTCAGAGGTCCTCCTTACCCAGCGCCCCCACGCTGATACTCCGCTAACAAGCCAATGAGCTACAACTTTGTTTATGCATCACAAAGCAGCACATTTCACTGGTGACCCGCATTTACCCTGTACAACTGAGCCTGTAAATGGATGCTTTGTGACAGTGAGAGAGTAAGCTGTCGGCTTGCTCGCTCCCCCAAGGAGACTAGACTCTCACCAGCCTGTAAAAGGCAGCCACAGTGTAAGACTGGATGTACACATATCCATGCCCACCTTGGACTATTTCAAACTTAACTTAACTTAATAAATTAGCATGACATGTATTGCTTTTGCATTTCTCATATGATACAGATGTTGATTTGGTACCACATTTGTCTTTTATTTCCTCCTAAGCGCAGAGTGTGGGTTGAATTGTGGGTCAGTGCTGCTAGTGGAGCAGTGTTTGATTTGTGTGTCATGGCTGCTGGCGGCTTGTGGCTTGAAATGCCTGACCACAGCGTTGAACTCGATTCCGGCACGTTTTTTTTCTGATCTACACACACTCGATGTAACTCCAGGGTTAACGCAGTGGACCATCCTCATATTCTGTTTTGTGGATATTAGTGCATTTTCAACACATTTTTTCTCCGTCTATTTCTGTCTACACTGTGCGATGGGGTGGTAGGAATGCAGTAGCATGCGCTTTGTTCAGAGTTCAGGGTTGCAGTGGGAGAAGAAATAGGACAGAGGGAATGGGAACCACTACACAGGAAGATATCATTTGATGTGTGGCATTTTGGATGCATTTTTTGGCCTGTTTGTTACAGCAACTGGACAGAATCAGAAACCATAAACACATTAGTTGTAACTACCTGCCAATTCAGCTGATGCAAGGAGGACAGAATCTATGTTTCAAGTTATTTGTATTTTATTTGTATGTTTGGAGTCTAACAGGGAGCCAATGCAAATTATCTTGCATGGGTATAATATGTCTCTTTCTGCTGTCTTTTGTCACTTCCTGTTTATTTTCAATTTATTTCTGTTTATTAAGGAAAACATTAAGTGTGTGAGTCATCTTGGTTGCACCCTCGTTCAGTGTTGCTAGCTTGGTGACTTTTTGACTTTTATTTATAAAAAGCCACTAGGGAATATGTCATTTTTCCACATTGGGAGCTATCCTATTCGCTACTACTGGAAAATGTATAATTCTGGTGTGTTTAATGTCAGTAAACCGTAAACAGCAAGCAACCAAATCAAAATGGAGGGGCCGCCACTATCTCAGGGGAATCACAGACTATTCCTTAAAATGTGAATTCAAATGTCAATATGTATAGTTCTCCAAACTATGAACTAAGAATTATGGGAAATGCACTGAATCTGTTGGCGTGCTCTCATTTGGACCCCCTCCCCAATGTCTATACCTTGGTTACGCCCATGGGAAGTAGCCTCCTGCTGGAGTTTAAGCTGTAAACTTACACTATTGAAAATTGAAGTGAAGGTGGGTTTACTTACTCGCCATTATATTGGTAGCTTTCTTTAAAACACTTTAAACAAAGCTACTAATATTTTGGCACATCATCGTATAAGCTTACAGAAAGACTTTGTGAGATACAGGTGAGCAAACACCTCCAGAGAATCATCAGCAGTTCCCTTCAGCTTAAAAACCACCTGTCCAGCACCAGACAACAAACAGACAAAGCTGGTGGAGCTGAAAGAAGACTGAATGTTGGACTTAAATTAACTAACCTTTCATATGAAACAGGTTGTCAGCCAGTTTAAGGTCCCACCATGATGACGTGCTGTCTCCTCTCTCCTGCTCCTACCAGGCCTGTAGCCCCGTCCAGGTATCTGTGGCCTCCAGAAGCCCCAGCTGCCAGGGTTGGACCCCCTCCGCCTCTGGCCACAGTAACACTCCGGTGGGTCTTCTGTCCCGTTCTGTCCGTCTGTCTGTCTTCATATGTGTCTGTTTGTTTACCTGCATGACAGCCGGTCTATGAGAGCAGGCAGCAGCATAGATAGAGCCTCCAGTGTGTAACATTTAGGAGGATCTACTGGCAGAAATGGAATATTATATTCATAACTATGTTTTCATTAGTGTATAATCACCTGAATATAGATATTGTGTTTTTGTTACCTTAGAATGACCTGTTTTTATCTACAGATGCCACACGTCGCCTTCCATGGAGTCCACCATTTTTCTACAGTAGCCCAGAATGGTCAAACCACTGGCACGTTTTTTGCGACCACTGTAGTCTCCACTACGCGCTTCACAGCCTGTTCACATTACCAGGTCGTCAAATACAAACACCAACAGTGTCGAGTTAGTTGAAACTTGACTGCTAGATGCCACTAATGTCCTTTAAGTCATCTATAAAGACAGTTTTACGAAGGCCCAATCAGCTTTGGTACAAGACCTTCACTGCATATGATCCTTGTGTTTCCTGTAAAGAAGACAGTAAAACATGACCTGGCTGATCTATGGAACACAATCCTGATTTATATGGATACAGCTGATTGTGTACACTAACACTTTTTCTGTCTCTTCCAAGACGCGCTCTCCATTCCACACTGCTGTTGTACTTAACCTGTGGTTGTGTGTCTGTTCAGATGGTGAAACCTCGCTGCCGGTCCGTCAGTGTCGGGGAACAGTGGCTCCAACAGAACAGGCTTCAGCCTATGAGTGCGTCGCCCTCCCGCACTCACTGCTCCTTCAGGTGAGACCTACCTGGCGTGGTTCCTGTTCACAGTTTAACCTGCTATTAAAATTGAAACATCACAGTCTTGCAAGCAGCTCCACTTGGAGCTAAATGCTAACATGCTGATGTTTAGCAGGTAATGTTTATGTTAAATCATAGTTTAGTGTGCATGCTAACATTTGATATTTAGCAGTTTCTTCCTAAACTGAAAGAATGGGCCTCTATTACAAAATAAACTGTTTGTACCTTCAGAAAACAAGAGTAACTTAAGTTTATTTGTTGCTCAATTGAAGTCTGTGTATCATCTGTATAATCTGCCAATTCTTTTTCCAATTAATCAAATCAATAGTTTGGTCTATAATATGTCAGAAAATTGTGGCCATGCCCATCACAATCCCTAAATTCTAAGATGATCAAAATTCTTGTTTTGTCTGACTAACCCTAAAAAAAAAAAAAGAAATGCAACGAATCCTCACAATGAAAACTTGGAACTCGGGAATATTTCGCATTTTTGCAAAAAAAATTTGTCTTAAGATATATTGATTATCAAAATAGTGGCCTATTCCTGGGCCGTGAAGTTAGCTGGTAAATTGTGCATAAAGACAATTCAGATTGCCATCAGGAAGGTGCCATATAGCTTAACATAAAATGAAGCTTCACAATTAAAGCTCCATTGATGTGGGTCTGCACATTTTTTCTTTCCAGCATCTGTCCACTATCTTTCTCCTCTAGGTTGTCATTTTATCGCCCCCTTTGCTGCTGTCTGTAAAATCACATTTCCACGGCTCAGCCAGGGAAGATAAAATTGATTGAATCACCTCTTCGTTTGTTATCAGTCTATTTTGCCTCAGTCTCATTTTTATAGCGACTGATCACATCATGCGTGTGTTGCAGCGCCCCTTTCCTTTTCCGGCCCGCTCGCATTGCTTCTCATCCACACCATTTGTGTCTTTACATCTGCAGGAAGGGTCGCGGGGAGGCCAAAAAGTGCCGCAAGGTGTACGGAGTGGAGCGCAAGGATCAGTGGTGCACCGCCTGCCGCTGGAAAAAGGCCTGCCAGCGCTTCCCTGACTAAAAACAGCTGCAGGATGGAGAGAGAGAGCGTGAGAGGTGGATGGATGAATGACTGATAAAAGAGACTTATATCAAAAAGAGGATATAAATTAGGGCCCGAGAGCCATCAAGAAAAACAGCTGTTCTCTTACTTCACGTGTTTTTTTTTTTTACTTTCAACTTGTTTTATTTCTTTCCTAAAGAAATGCAAATGGAGTTTTCTGTATCTTTGTAACTTGATCCTGAAAACTGAAGTCTGCGACGGTGCTACCTGTTGATTGAATTTGACCATGTGATGTGCTAAGCCTACAGTACTCTCCTACTTTATCCAAAGGTCATATTATTGCCCCTGTAGCTCCACTGTATTAGACTGCTACTTGGCTGTTTTCCTTATTCCAACCCTCTCTTCCAGTGGTTACACAGTGGTTATGATGTACATGAGATAGTGTGCTTTGAGTTACGTACGAGTATTTTATACCTTTTTTTTAATTGTCTCGTTCAGCCCGTGTATTGGGCAGATTGTTTTTTGGGGGGAATTTTCATGTTTTTTGGCACTTTGTTGGAATATAAACTCACAAGAATAAGCTACATTTGGTTTGACTCAACCATGTTCCTATTTCCTTCCTGCCCGCGTGTTGGCATACGACCAGTGTTAATGGTTCTATCCGTGAAGCTATGGAGTCGTGGTGTTGGGACTAGCATTAGGGGAATGAGTTTGTGATAGCAATAAAAAAGAGGAAATATATTGTCAAACACAAATTAAAAAGCACTGAGAATTTGAAACGTTTGTTGTCCTTTTTTCTTTCTTCTTCTGCATGACAGTCCACAAAAGAAATAGCAAACTATTTTATTGTAGTTTTCTCTATACACATTTTGTATGAAGACTCAAGAACAATGGTATAATGTTAGAAATGTGGTCTGAAATGTACACTGTATTCACAAATTCCATTTTTTGTGTTTAATTGACAGGAAAACGCACAAGCACACACACATGCACGTGCACATTCACACTCACGCTCTCTGCAGTCGCCCACACACTCCTGTGCGTACATTATTACATCTCGTAATCAAACACTAGTAAACACGTAAACACTATTAAGATGCAAAAGAATGGCTGTGACCTGCTAGTGGAGGAAAATACCCTGATGGCAAAACAAACGAACATCGCCCGAGCAGAAACATCTGTATAATAATGACCACAGCTGACATGCACAGTTCATTTCATCCCTCTGCTCTCAAATGGTACATTAGGATGGGGGTTTTCAGGGCTGCTGTCATTTAGGCTTCCTTTCCCATTCCACAGTGCGATACACACCCAATGGCCCCGCCAGGTTCCAGCTTCATGCACTTAAGTACAATTGGACTGAAGTGACGTGAGCAGCTCTGCAAAAAGCCCCGGGTGGAGTAATGTTTGAGAACTGACTGGGGATTAGTTTTTCCTTAGCAACACTTTAAATTATTGCTTCCTCGTCTCTATAATTTGACGGTAAGTTAGGGGCTGTGTGGAAATTATTAGAGGGGAAGGGAGAGATTGTTTTTTTATTATTTCATGTTCAATTTCATGTTAATATATATTATATATATATATATATATATATATATATATATTTTTTTTTTTAATTGAAAAGTGTCAGTAATATTCAACATTGTGTTGTATGTCAAAAATGTGTCATGTAATTCCTTTTCTAATATGCAGTTATTTTTATATAATAAAATAATTATTCTAGCCAGAAATTATGGTTTCAATTTGGGTAGACCCAGTTGTCTGATAATTCTCTACACTTCTCCTTGCTTTAGCTTTTAATAGTGCAATTAATTGTAGTAATACAGTTATATTCTTTTGAGATATTGGGAGAAGATATTGGTTATTTTAGAAGTCCAAGGGAGCGGCCAAAGACAAAATTAATAACACCGTGGAGGGCTTTCCTTTCCTAAAAAAGTTAAATCAGCTCCCCTCTCCACCCCAATAGTTTTTGTACAGACCCCTACTTATTATTATTATTATTATTAGATGGTTGGCAAATATCATTACACTACAGACAGTTAATACAGTGAGAATGAGGGATGACAGACACTTTTGTCTGTTTTTAGACACTTTTAGTGAAGGACAGGGAAGTATCAGCCATAAATTTTCCATATCTGCATGTCTGTCATCTTATGTTAACTTCTCATTTCACTGTTACTGCAGGAAAAGGCAGTCAGTCCAAAGAATTACGTAACATATTACTGAAGACACAATAAAACTGATCCCAAGTCAGTATCCAAGGGCAACATGTTCTCTCCTCAAACACTAGAGGACAGTATTGTTCCACTTAAAGGAGCCCATGGGAGCCGGCCAACCTGCGGCTTATTTCTTCAAGAGAAACTCATCACTTGCAAGGTTTGCAGTGAGAACCTCCGCTCAGTGGCCAAAATTTGAATACAATGGAAAGGAAAAATTATTTTTTTCAGTCAATAATCAGAATGAAGCAATGGGAACAAGACTTTTTTTGAGGAGTTTTGGTGAGTTTGAAAGTTCAGAAAACCAATTTTACATCCATTGTGTTTAATTAATTAAGTTATTTAAGCAGAAAATTAGATTCTCATACCAGTAATTAACAGTTTGTGCTTCAGCACTCCCACTGTCCGATGTTTACATCTGACTGGACCGTCTTGAAAGCACAGTGCCGGTCCACTTCCAATTTGATTCTACTACATGTTTCTGCTCTGACGTGGGAAGATTAGCAATTACGGTGCGGTTGAAGGCAAACATCTGTGTATGATTTGTTTAGCCCCAAATCGACAAAATGCCATTTTAAAAGGGGAAACCTATGTAGAAACACGCATGTCCATTTCATGAGAGCTGGGCATTAGTAACAGTTCTCATAACACAAACTACAGAGTGCAAAACTGCTGAAGCCATCCACACATGCATGAAAGTCACACCCTCAGGTCTCACCTCACAGTGAACCAGTTTACCAATCTCATTTGGCCCCTTTTATTATACCAACACACAAAAATATATTCAATTGCACTTCTCTAATTCTTTTATTTCACAGAATGGCATGTAAATATGCTTAATAAGAAGGACATCACGGTCAAAACATTCCTTGTTACTTAGAGACACAAAGAGAGGTGCAGCGAAATGGCGGAGTCTGTTCTTCTGATGATGATGGTGACGTCAAATTGGAGTGAGCTGCTGAAAACATGATTGGTTGAGGTAACTGGGGTGGGATTCTGTGAGAGGAACAGAAAGACATTACAGTTTGTTTTGCCTCCAGACCCGAGTTACGGGGATGTTGTTGAACCTGCCGCTGCGGCTGCTCCTCATGCCCAGGTACTGCCTGAGCAGCTGGTTCACCCGTTTCTGACTGTTCCATTTGCGGGCAGATTTCCGGACACCTATGAACCCACCGTAGCGCTTTTGTAGGGGCCTCATGGGTGAGCCAATCAGCTTCCTGTATCCATGGCGCCCCCTCTGAAAGCCACCAAAGCGTTTGGATAAGGTGATGGCCTCTGAGGTGTCGTCCTCGTCGTCCCCTTCTAGCTCGCTGTCACTCTCCACATTCCTCTCCTCCCTCAGCTTCCTCTCTTCGTCCGCCAGACTGAGATCCAGACCCTGCAGGCCCTCCCCCTCCTCAGACGATTCCAGCAGTGATGAGTCATACTGGACACTGCGCTGCTCGAAGGGTGTCTCATCCTGATCCCCCTCCTGGAAGCGCTCTGCGGCTGCAGACTGCAGCAGTTCACTGTCTGAGTTCAGGTCGAGAGAGGTCAGCTCCAGCTCCTCTCCTGTTCTCTTGAACAGAGCGCCTCCCTCAGAAAGTGTAGGATAGTGCGAAAGCTTCACGGCGCGTTTACACACCTCCCAAGTGAGCGAAGAGGAGACGTGGCCCTCACACTCTAACAAACACACCTGCAGAGGGAGAAGAAAGAGTGGTTTTTTAAAGTAGTGCATAGAAGAATTCATTTTACTAAATTATTAATCCAAAGAATGATCCAAAAATCTAAATGCTGGTTAAAATCCCCGGATTGGTGTTTACTTGGGGTGATGTTGAAACAGTTACTAGCCATTGAATAGGTATATAGTTTTAAGTGGCAACCAGTTCTAAGACCTGAGAAACAACTGAAGACCTAATCCACAGATTTAGCCACTCTTTGGTTAGGCAGCTGAGCATCTCTGAGAGTACTGGGTCTGCATTATCATAATGGCAACACAATGAGTAAATCCCCACAGGCAGGCCTGAGGAAACCCTCCACGGCCGTGGTGGCGATGTCAGTGTACTCCTTCTACTCATGATACAGGAGACTGGACACAGTGTATCAGAGAGAGAGTAGGCTGCACAGCAAAAGGCAGGCCGCCAACAGTGAGATTTTAGGGCAATGTACTTTTATATGCTGTTTTTGATTGGAAACTGTAATACCCCCACTGACATCTTAATTGTTGTACTATACTTTATAGATTACCAAGATACTACTTAATGAGCCATAGCATCATAGCACTGTATGTGATCAGTTAGTAGACCTTTTTCACAGCAGTCATTATGACATGAAACAGTAGGGTAAATGCAGGTGTTACATATTATGCTAATTAAGAATTCCATTCAGGTTGGACAGAGTCAGGGTGCTGCTACTGTGCATGTTGCCTCACTGGAAGGGCTCTGCTACACTAAATGGAACAGAGCCTTAATTAGTATCATTGGTAACACCTGTGTTTACCCTACTATTTCATGTCAAAATGGCTGCTGTGAAAAAGGTCCATTGTCCATCAGATTTGAAACAAAACCCAACAAGCTGAATATAACATAAGTTTGTCATACTACTGCCAAATAAAGTTGACTAACCTGTTAGCAGGTTAGTTAGCTAGTTAGTATTTACACATCCAGCAGACACAGAGCAACATTAGCACTCATTTGGAGTCATGTTTCTGGCCACCTGAGCTCTGCTTTTAGCTCTGTGTTGCTAGCTGCTAAATGCTCAATAGCTGTTCACTAGCTAGTTGCTAGTTGCTAAGTTTTTTTTTTTGCTGTTTAGTGCTGGGCTGGTAGCTTACAGTGGGTTCTTGCTGTAAACGGCTGCCTGTTGTGGCTACTCATAACCATTAGTGCAGCATTAAAGACATGTTAATGGACACTTCCTGTGTGCATATTGCCTTATTAGTAATAAGCCAATCAGTGAGGACAGGTTAAGTTAAAGGCCCTTAAAAACATAACTATAAAAAGAATCATGCTAATAGCAAAAAAAGGAAACAACAGCGTCACACACTTAAGTTCTCGATGCAGAAATGTAGTTTTTAATATACCTCACATGTCCGTGGTCAGCATCTCATTTCTGGCATGCACCCACACTTTTTAAACCCGACAGGTTCCTGCTTTGCTGTACAAGCAGACACAGGCTGAGGAAGCAGTCTCTTGACCTGCAAGGCTTATTATGTGTCATGGGAGTTAATGGGCCTTGTTCCTGCTGTGTTCAGCGTATATGGAAAGTTAGGTGCCAATATGAGATGTCCATCATTTGATAAATGTGACATCTACTTCTGCAAAATGACTGACAGCACAAAATTGGAAGAAATTACAAATCAGTTTGAAGGACAGCAGGTAAATTATGTCCTTTGCTGACAAAATGATCTTTTTTTCCCCCAGATTGGCTCTTCAACTTCTGATAATGATATTTTTGCTCTGAAAATGATAAATATAGTGTTTTAAAATTGAACTTTTTATGTAGAATGAATGTTGTCAGTGCTGAATCACTCACTCTCTGTGCAGTTTTAATGAGCTTCCTGTGTTATTATCATCACACCTGACAGTTTGGCTTCATGCCTGAACACTGTTGGTGGAACCACAACTTTTCCAGTATGGTGGTAAGGAAGAACAGCTGAAGAGCATTTTTAATACAAATAAAATCAGCCAAAACTTCCCATTTTTTCATTGTCTCAAACGCTTCAAATGCAACCATAAGTTATATTTTATGCTGCCTGAAAATAAATTATTATTTAATCTCAAGATAAGAATGAATTGATATTTTTTATTTATACTCTTAAATGTAGAAAACCACAGTGTATTAGTTTTTCTTCAGAGTAAATATATCTGAAAATAGGCTCCAGCTGCCACGCTGTAGAGATTTATGCATACACACCTCTCCTTTCTCCCCTTTTTTAAACTCCCGAGCCCTCTGAGTTAAATTTCAGTTTGAGGTAAGAAGCAAATCCCATTTACCCGTCAAATCTCGCTCAAACGAGATAAATTGCATTGTTATCGGAAAACCTGCTCACATCAAAGGAATGAGTGAAGAGGGAGTTCCGCTGTGAATCTATCAACGGAAATTAATTATCCATCGTAAATGAAATGAGCACACCAGGGGATTCTCCACGTCAGATCAATGGAGCAATCTAAAGGAGTTTATGAGTGAGAGCAGATGTGTGTGTGCGCGCACGCAGTCATGTGTTTGTATACTTGTGAGGGCCAGTGGATAAAAAGGTTGAGAGAGTCCTCCATAGTGAGGAGGCTTTAGTTTGTCAGAAGAGTATCAGGATTAGCACTTCAAATGTTTAAACATCATCCCCGGTTCGATTTGGACCTTTGTTGCGAGTCCTCCGGTCCGTTGAATAAAGTCATTAAAAAACAAAACGAATTAGGATTAGGTTGTTGTTAGGTTAAGGGGAACAAACTCCTCACTCACAGGGGCGTATCCAGGAGGCGGACAGAACAGGGGTGGGGAGGGTCACCCTTCAAATCTAACTGGCCACCTCATGGTGCCGTGCACGAAGCTGTACACATGAATGGCTGATGGCCGTGTTAATGCTGCAACCATCAACCCAGCATGATATCTCATGTCATCCCATTAGTACGGGATCCTTTGATGTGACTAAGACAAAAAGTATGTCTAATCATACTGACACACATTTAAGGATTAAACCCAGAGGAAACACTGATGTATTTTGTATGCATATGATAAACAGTTATAGGTTGGTGTTCCTGACATGATATTATGTCATAATGCAGCCCTCTACCCATAGAGTTCGGTCCATATGGGTCAGTTCTGGACCTTATGATTTACGTCCAGTGCCAACGTTCAGAGCCAGTGCAGGAAGTAGGGTGCCCTTTAAGTGGCGAGTAAGGATTTGGAGGTCTGGGTAGTGAATCGGCGCGTAGTAGGTCTGACTTTCATGCAAGAGACTTACAATTAGTGTCTGCTTTTATATAAACCATTACCAAAATCATTCCCTAACCTTAACTTAGGTGTTGTAGTTGCTTAAGTCTAACCATATCTTAACCATATTTACTTTCCCAAACCATAACCATACAGCAGTTGCCGTGCTACAGCGGCTACTCGCATAGGCTACCAATCTATTCTGTCACCTCTTAAAAGATTACTACAATTCCCCCAAAAGAGGTGGTTGAACATTGCATAGGACCCCGAAAAACACTCAGGCTGGCTCTACATTTAAAACAACCTACCTGATCCATTCTATTGTACATAAATAGGTTCTGTTCATACTTTATACAGCTGCTTATCATTTTGTATATTGTTTTGTTTATTTCATATATACCACAGTTACATCTGTTCCTGCTTTATCACTTCATTGGTCTATTGTTCATTCTGTACTTGACTGTTTGCACTCTGGTTAGGTCTTTAACTCTATGTTGGTGCACCGTTACTGTGTGCAATGACAATAAAGTTGATTCAAGTTGAATCTAAAGTAACATGTTTGCTGTTGTGCATTAGTGTACTGAGGCTTTTTTCAAATCTGTAAGATCCTAATATATATATGTACAAAAGACAACATGCAGGACCAGCTCACAATGATGTAAATAATAACCATAGCACAAATAATTAACAAAATCGTAAACAAAAGCTGCCATTTACCTTTAAGATTAGCATTATGCAATGAAAGTAGTCAGTGGAAAGGATGATGCCATGAAACGCTTGATGTGTGTATGTCTGGAAGCGAGTATGGACGTGTCCGTGAGTGTGTAGGTGTGTGCACTAATAAATCAATGGGTCCTGACATTATAACAAACACCAGCGGCTTCACACACACTCTTTCAGTCTGGAGTGGGAGACAATGGAATTGCTCAGTGGATTCCATCTGTGGCTCAATGGGAAAGCGGCTAACACAATGAGGAACTGATAAAATGTGTCAGTCACCAGTGTAAGCCGGGGCTGATGATACTGAGCAGCAGTCAATTACAGAGTTCTATTACAACTCCCAAAAAGGTCCCAGCTGTCTTTCTCTGCATCATTATCAGCTAAATTAGCCATCCTACAGCTATTCATGGACGCCCACGGACTATTTTTACCCGCTGACGTGCCTCACACTGTTTGGAAATGAGATTGTGTGCTGCACTGAAGTTTTGGTTTGAGTAAGGAGAGCATTCGCATTCTGAGTGCAGAGGCTGGTTATCTTCCTGTTGGTCACGAAGCATTGCACAAGTGCTGCAGATACTTACACATGCAAATAATCCCCCTCCACTATGAGACAGAAACAACAGCAATGAACTACATGTAATTAAACTAGTGGTTTAACTACATGTTGCAGTAGCTTGCTGGTAGCTCCAATACATTCCTATAGTGAATGCATAGGGAGTCAAGTAGATAAATGACTTTCTTTGTGTGGTTACTACTGAACAATTTTGGACTATAAAAGGAAAGACTTTTTTTTTTTTTTGCTATTGCTTCTTTACTGTAGTTGAACCCCATTTGATCTTCCCTGTACCCTGTTACTTGTTTCATGCTGTGAGCATGCCCAGAGACGGCATATGTCACCACCACACACTTGCCCTTTGTGTAGTGTTTGGAATTTGAATTTGTAAAGCTAAACTTGAATATATTCTATATCAATTAGTAATAATACAGCAAAACAGGGTCCCAATTAGAAGCGTGTCCCCTCCACCAGCCTGGTGTGGCTACACGTTTTGACAAATAAAAGCAGGTATCAGTTAGACGCCTGGTTTGGATGTTTAAACTTTTGTCAATATGGACATGCTACACATTGTTAATCAGTTAGATTATCCACAATTCAATCACTTCAGTTCATTTTACGGAAACAATGAGCATCAAAGCATCAAATAAAAGTCCTGGGCTATTAATAAGGTTTTACAGTATTTATAAATGTTCAGAGAAATTGTTGCTATGTTAGACGTTACCTGCTAACTGAGGGATCCTGCTTGGTGCAATACCCCAACCTAGTTTCTGGAAGGTCTGACTGATGGACATACGAAACCAATGCTGACATATCGGGTTATTGGATTTGTTTGGTTTATGTATGACCAGTGAACAAGTGGGCACTAAACTTAAATGGGCTTTTCTTTGCTCGTATATGACTTTTTGTAATTTATTTTTGTTATAATTTCGAATCACAACTTGATCTTTTCCTTTTTTTACAAAGTTGTTTGAACTACTTTTTCTAAGCAGCTTTGGTTAACCATACTAGATTTCTCTCAAGGGTAGCTTTGCTTTAGTTCAGTTTCTTCCAGTGTGAAGTAATTGGTAGCTTACAAAGTTATGCTTTTAAAGTAGCTCCCCCAACACTGAGAGCTCGACTCACTTTAGCCCTGAGGGGTTCATCACTGATTAGACCAAAGTTTTCTTACTCCATCCGAAGCTATTTATTGTGGTTTTGTATCATTTTGTGTCATTATTGATTTCTCAAGTCAAGTTACTGCAGAAATATAAATAATAAATTAAAAAATGCTCTAAAAATAAAATGTTATTGCATGAGACACACACAATAATCACACTGCTGTCCACCCCCATATTAACTCCCATATTCACATGCAAACAAAGTGCACGCAGCTCTATCAAACTGCACACAACGCATTACGCAGAAGCTGTTATCGTGATTGAAAATAACTTACTCGGACAATCACAAACACAAACACACCTCTATCAGGGTTTGGAGCAGCTGTACCCACACTGACACACACACACTACAGTGTTGACAAGGCATTTAGCAGATGCTCTTATCAACAGTGACTCGTGACGACTGAGAGTGACAAACACACACACTCACCATGGTGTTGAAGGCTTGCTGGAGCTGCTGCTGCAGAAGGAGACCGCAGGCCACACACTCCCCCTGGCAGTCACTGCGTCCAGGGGCGAAGAGACATGCCAGCACCACCACCATGTACCACAGAGGGATCTTCATCGCTCAGTGCAGCCAGACAGGCAGGGACAAACAGGAGCCCAGCAGGTAGAAGAGAGGAGTCTACAACAAGGGCCAACAGCTGGAAAATCTGGGAGACAAAGCCTATGGGATCTGGGTCCAGCCAACAGGGAGAAAAGCAGACAGGAACATTGCGTCAATTCCAGTTTACAGGGATCATTAGCTGGATTTTTGGGCGGTCAGTCAAAGCGTTGGTGGTGGGAGAGTGTTCAGCCGACACCAGGAGATGGACAATGTGGGTGGGATGGAGAGAGAGCACAACCTGAGGCAATAGATGAGAAAATGGGTATTTTCCAGTAGGCAGGACGCAGCTGCTCCAGGCATGTGGATCAGTAATGGAAATCCTACAGCAGAAATTAGAGGTTATATGATCTGTGCTCGAAGAGATCTAGGTAATCATGGGTGATGACCACTTGGTAGAGGGGCAAAGAAGCAACAATTGTATTCAGTCTGAAGGGAGGTGTAAGGTTAGTGTCTGTGTTGGAATAAAACATGTTGGTTCTGAATAGATAGTGAAGAAATGTTTTCGTAAAACTATATACAAGAAGATGTGTGTGTTATCTTCTAAGTGGAGGATCCTGGTGTCTCTGGCCCCAGCTACAAATCTGTGAACCAGCGTTTGATGCTTGACCTCCACTCCCTGACCCCCATCTACCCCGCCAGTCACCGCTATATCATCCAATAACACAGAGATAACAGAGAAAAAACAGCCACTCAGAACATCACTGATTGCTTCTGCTGCGTCACCAGAACCTTTACTATGGCCTCTGCAGGTTTATGAACCGAGGCCACGGCTAAAATGGACCAATGTACTTCCTTTGTTGGGCTCACTCAGTTACAAGGCTTTAGGAAACGGAAAGTTTTGTTATTTTAATTAATCATTTATCCTTTGCCACTTTATTAACTTAAAGGTATTTAAGACTTATAGCGGTCCGTATAGCTGAGGGGAACTCAGATTCAAGTGGTAATTCTCTGTGAGTTTGTCACTACAAGATAAACCTTTTACATCCTATGATGAATTGTTAATATTGATTACAGCAGCTTTTGAGAAAGCTACATTACATGAAAATGTACCATAACATATCTACAGTACAGGACCCCCAATAAAATTACAAACTGGTATACTTACATAACCATTCCTGTTCAAGGTTAAAAAACAATTAATGGGAAATGAATCCTGCCCTCTTTTAGTAACAGGATAAAATTATAAGAAAACTTCCATGGAAGAATTGTGTCACTTGTTGCTAATTAAAGGAACTGTGTTCAGCTGGTACACCAACTACCAAATCATTAACTCCAAGTAATTATTTGTGTAACCTCAAGAGTCTTTCAGGCAGTGCACAGCTGCTGAACATTAACATGTGACCTTTGAACACAGAAAAACATGCACACATACATACAGTAAAGTTTCTAATAATAATAATGAGTTATGATTTCTAGAATTCACTAAACAACTAAACTGTAGTAACTTTATCAGGACATTGTCTCTAACATAAGTACTACATTATTGTAGTTAAACTTACTGATTACAGGACCCATAAAATAAAGCCTTACCTTTCTGTACATACACTGTGTGCTGCCTATAGATGATATAATTGGCTCTTACTGTTGGGTAATGGCAGCTGAACACTACTGAAGCAGTTGTGCACGTTATATGATGATAATGATTCTGGAAGAATATTAAACTTGGCTAAACAACAAAAAATGTCAGGTTCATTTGAATGTGTATTTGTACATATTTTAGGATTATTACCTTATCACTAATATAAATACTAATACAACTACATCACATATGCATCCATAACACAATGAGTGCCAATTCTAAGTGAAAATTATATAACATTACTGGTATTAACAACAGGCTAATTTCAGCAGAAAAGTTCAATTTCTATAATAACAACAAAGCTGAAAAATGAATACAGTGAGGATAAAAGAAAGTTGGATAGAAAAATGAAGGCCTATTTTGTAGATAGAGTCTGCATTCACAATGATAAGAGTCACTGTACGCAACGCTATGTTACATAAAAGATGAAAAGTGCTTTCAGTGTCTTGTTGACCCGCCAAACTGATCAAACGGAATTCACACTCAGACAGACGGGTGGCAGAAGTCACAGCTAGCGTCCGACAACACACAGTGAACATATCATATTGATGAGAGCGAATGAACATCTTTGACAATACGCTGAGTGGGTGTCATATTGATGGGCGCACTGAAGTAAAAATAAATAAGTAAAAGCTAGCACACCATGACCATTTCCACTGTACCACATTACCACTCGTAGTCAATAGCACATGAAACAGGTCGTGTGTGACTGGCGCCCATTTACAAATATATAAATGGCTTTATGGGAAATCATTAGAGGGACCTGTTTGTTTGCCTTGCTGGGATGTTTTGTGCAATGATCATTTGCTAGCCTGCTGACTAAGCCCATTTGATATTGTTATGCTCTCCCTTAAGTGGCCCCTCACTAAGTAAGTTGAACAAATGAGTAAAGCGCGTCGCAGGCCCCGGATACACTCCAGGAGTACAAAGACGTGGCTTTCAAACATGAATAATATTGTACCAGAGTGTGTTAATATGAACAGGCATTTGGGGCCACTGTGAGCTTTTTGTCAACACCATTATTAAAGAACAAAGTCACGCAATGTCTTTATAATTAGACAATGGATGTCCATTTGTTTGCCTCCGCACATTCAGAGTTTCATGTAAGAATATTGTGATTTAGGCTTTTAGCTAAACAATACAGGGATGGTGGAAGCACACATTAACAGTGTCCTGCAGACAGCTAATATGTCCACATAAAGCTTTACAACCTATATTTCCATCTTATAAAACTGTTGGTCAGTGTTTTCTATCTCCAGTATTTTCAGTGTCCAGGTTGATTCACGGCACTGTAGGCATACGATGGTGATGTAAGTGCAAAACGTACTTTTTTTTTTAAAGCTATGGGTTGATTCAATTTATCCAAGAAATGTTGATGATTTTTACCAAATGTCCATCATTTTAATTGGCCTGACTGGTTTTTTTGAGCTGCATATGGCTTTTGATGAACAGGCAGGAGAGCGATTTATATCTTTCTAAAGGCTCATTGCCTGCGGTCATCTCTCTTTTGAATGGAAGCCATTATTGTTAGTGAGAAACAATTGACAAGGATATTAAGTGTTAATGGGCTCCGATATCATCAATCTGCCGCCTCGAGATGTTTACAGTGGGTGTTTTAGCGAGCTGGTTGTAATGATTTGTATTAGCCAACTCGTTGACACAGGATGGGTTAAAGTGACTGCACTTCCTCAATGTTTATTTATTACATACTCACATCTATTTGCACACCTCTCGTCCCTGCACAGCATGTCACACTTAACCCTTTACTCGCCAATACCACATCCCATTAACAGTCCCCTGCTCTATGTTTGCTATATTGAACATGCTTTAGGGTAGAGTACCCTCAGGATGGTCTCATACATACCAACATAGCTGTTAATTTCAGTTTCGGTGAAAATAAAGGAAAATGTTATGAACCGAATAAGGCAGAGCTCATAGAATATGTGCTGAATTCCTGCTTTTATTCGTTATAAATGAGTATGTGTTGTCTATAGCAGTGTATCACCATGCAGTTATATACTAGATTAAAGCTCTTTCCAGTTAGTTGAAGAACTCTAATCATGTCTTTTATTGCCACTCTAAATCATTTGTACATAAGGGTATTATGGGAGTTTTTTATTTTATTTTTTAAATCATAGACCTTTTACTACTGAAATACTTCCATTAAAGGGCTATTCCAGTGATTTTGCAGATTAAGATCAGTTTCCTCATTGTGAGGAGCCCTATTCAGCTGGTGAAAACAGTAATATAAAATATTTTGTGGCTTTTAAAGTTTGAAAAAAGAACTCTAGTGACATCATCAGGGTCAGTGTTTCAGCTTGGGTTCAACACCTGAGACAGAAAGCTCAAGTTAAAAACTGGAGAGGTGGGTTTTGAAAGAAGGGCATTTAGGAGGCAGGGATATCATGAAAGATGCTATCCAGTTGCATTGTAGAAGGGGTAGTTTTATTTTAATTTAATTTTTTTTAATTTTTGAAGTTTAATCCATATTATAGTCTAAAAGTCCGGACATATCAGCCTCTGCTGGTTCAATTAAAGACAGTTGTCTTTTAAGAGTCCCCCCAACATTATAGAAGTTGGAAGCTGAAGTGCACATTTAATTGACAGATTTCTTCTCAGTGAAGGATAGAGGATATTATTTTTACCTGTGATGAACTTTGATAATATCAAGAGGGGACTAATTAATTAAATTGGTGAGCACAGTTTGGTTCTTTACTGTAAGAGTTTTTTTATCTTTTGGTCAGAACCCCGTGTGAGTCACCTACTTCACATGATAATCCATTCTGGCTGCATGGCTGGCTTGGATGGCAATGTTGGTCTGTCAGTTGGTCCACCACTTTGGACCAGACTGAAACATTTAATGAGTACAGACGTTCATTCATTCCCAGAAGGTAAATCTTAATGACTTTAGTGATTCTCTAACTTCTCCTGTAGTGCCATGAGGTTGACATTTGTGGTTTTGAATGAAATGTATCAATCGAATGGATTGTAATTTAATCTGGTACTGCCATTCATGTTCCTTGCTAACATGCTAAACTAAGCTGGTGAACATGGTAACATTATACCTGCTAAACATCGGCTCAAGGCTTAAATACACACTGGCAAGCATCGCAGCTGACTCTTTTGTTTTTGATGCGTCATCATTTCTTTACATTCCATGTGGTTTTCCATGCCTTTAGGAGCAGAATGCAAACATATGCTATAATCACAATCACTAAAAGACAAAAAAAACTTGACTAACTTTCTGGGATCATGATAATTTTGGCGCTTAAAACAGGGTCATACCTTAAAAGGTTTAAAAAAAAACTATAAAATGGTCATTGGTAATAGAAACACTTCATTAAATTATAATACAATGGTAATTACGAAATATAATTATCGGGAACATGTAGCAACAAAAAGTTATGTTCAACTGGGTAAATTAATAAAATCCAAACATTTTGGAGTAACTACAATGACACGGTAATAATCAGCAATCTGTAATGGCTGA